ATTTTCAAAATCGATTCAGAATTGCGGGCTAAAACGTGGACGAAAGACTTTTTACTTCTCTGCTATTTACGAAGAAACGGCTTGGCCGATCGTCGCACAAAACTGACGAACAATAGTCCTCTTCGAGATACATCGAATGGCTTTTAAATTTTTGAAATCGGTCCAGCCGTTTTTGAGAAAACGGCGATTTACGGCAAAAAATCTGTTGGTGCACATGCACACACACACACACACACGTACTTTTTCCAAATTTGGTCTCATTCGATTCAGAATGGCTTGAAACGTCGAGAAAACATAGAATTAGCGAATCGGATTTTTTGATGAAAACATAAACTTCTCCTTCGGGAAGTTAATAAAGACAAATAAAATATGTTAATAATGAAAATATGTTTTATAATTCATCTTACTCGAAAAATTCAGATAACTGTGCCAATGTATAGTTGCGAGATTTAGTAGTAGCCATCACTTCATTCGGTTTCCAAAACAACGGTGAAGGCAAAAGCCAAGATAGTGATGGGCAAGATATTTGTTCTTCACGTAAAATACTGTTGCGCAAAACGTAAGAACCTAGATCATCACCTGAAATAAATATTGTGAATATAACCAACTGGTACTTAAAAATATGAAGGTATAAATATTAGTTCAATGTACCCATAGCAAAAACTTTAACAGCCTTCACAGATCCAGCCCAAGCTCCAGCTAAAGTAATTAAGCGTTTTATATGTTGATTTTTCCATTCTGATGTCTGTCTTTGCAAAAATACTAAGGTCATGGGACCACCCATACTGTGTGCCACGATTGTAACAGGAGTGCCATTGTTCATAGAATATGTCTCTTCTATGAGTTCTTTAAAATCCACAAACCATTGTTCATTCTCATCTAAATAATAAAATAGTAATAATTAATTTTTCGAGGTATTATGAGTAATATGATAAACTTTTAATACTCACTAGGAGCCTTTCTAAATCATAAGGTGCGCCTCTCAAACTAACATTTCTCTGGTAACCGTCTGCAACTAACGCATTACCAATATCCTTAAAATAAGCACCAGATGATGCTTTGGACGGATCTAACCATTCTACAGGCTCTGGAGATCCTGATAAAATTAACATTTTAATTAAATTACTATTAAGTAGATTAGTAAGATTTATTATCCATTTCTCACCCCATCCTGGAATCCTTGTTTCAACACCAGGAGTATTTTCGGTTTTACGTGTTTCGTTATTATAATATAATTTTACATTATCAATCCAGCAATCGATTACAAGAGGTACGAGTAATTCAAGATTTAGCCAAATATTGAAGAAATCAGATGTAGTTTTCTGGCAAAACACATGAACTGCGCTTTGTTTGTTGAGTTTAGCATCTATTTGGGAGCCTCCATCTCCAGGAACTAAAAAAATAATTTAATTACATGTTATTGATGTTGCAAAAAATATTGTGAATCATCCATATACCCATACAATATATATATATATATATATATATATATATATTTGTAAATTTTTCAGCAGCCCAACAGTCGAATTAAAAAAGATTAAATAACAAAATTATTTATTCCATTATACGTTTCGACACTTGATGTGTGTCATCATTCAGTAATCAAACCAGGAAAAACAAAAAACATTAATTATGATGTGAAAATTGATATAAACACTAACTTTGTGTAAAATAATAAAAAACTATTATTAACAAACGAGTTATAGGAGGAGCAAATATTGCCCTCCTATATTTAAGTTAACATCAGAAAGTGTTGTGTGTACTATTCAAGGCTAAACATACCGATATATATATATATATATATATATATATATATATATATATATATGTAAAAAATGAATTAAAATAAATGCTTTATTAATAAGAATGTTAGAATAGGATATGATACATAAACTCATAGTCTAACCACATCTATGTGGATATATAAAAATCTGTTTAAACCTCTGTAATGCATAAAACCTTTTGTAAGACAAAAATATCAAATTGTGCACTTTTGGTACAAAACCTCAGAAACTTACCAAATATAACAGGAGACTGGTAGCCAGAGATATTACTAACGTGCACAATTACGAGTATTGAAATATATAAAATAGTTTGTTCTTCATTATTTGAATATATTATATTTTTTACCACCTATTTTATGGTACATTAATCTCTGAAGTAAACACAATAAATGACCTCCAGCATTGACTCACGCCACTGTGACGCATTTACAATCAGTATCATTTAAATTACGATTTGATTTAATCTTAATTCGTTGTCATTGCATAGAATTTCAAAAGTGATAAACATAAACAACATATTTGAGGTTATTATCTGTTGCATATGGGAATAATTCAATTTGACAGCTCTGGATTTGTAAGGATACGAGCGTACCAGGAACTTTTGTCCAGTAGAATAATTACTATTTAAATATATGAATTTAAATAAATATAATTATATCTTGATAGTTTTCTTGACGCTAAAACATATATTATTTATTGTAACCAAATCATCGAGTGAAAAATATTAACAATTCTTTATTTACGTTTTGGCACTTGATATGTGTCATCATTCAGCAGTTTTTAAATAATTACAAAGAATTATGCAATAAATAGGAAGAAATATTGAAATATTATAATAATTACATTAAGGGAAGACAAAATTATAGGCTGTCTAATGATAAAATTAAATGCAAACTAACCAAAATATTATTATTTCTATAATTCGAATTATTTTGGTTAGTTTGCGTTTAATTTTATCATTAAGCCTATAGTTTTGTCTTGCATTAATGTAATAATTATGATATTTCAATATTTCTTCCTATTTATTGCATAATTCTTTATAATTATTTTAAACTGCTGAATGATGACACATATCAAGTGCCAAAACGTAAATAAAGAATTGTTAATATTGTTCACCCAGTAAACAAACAACCAGATCTTTAATTACGTTTTCGCACTTAATGTGTGTCATCATTCAGCAGTCTTAAAATAATTATGAAGAATTATACAATAAGAAAAAATATAGAATTATAATACATCATTCCACAAGGCAACAAAAAATTATAGGTTCAAGGATAAAATTAAATGCAAACTAACAAAATGTTATTATTTATATAATTTCTTCATTTACGTTTTGGCACTTAATGTGTGCCCTCATTCAGCAGTCTTAAAATAATTATGAAGAATTACACAAAGGGAAAAATATAGAATTATAATAATTGCATAATGAAAAAAAAGTTATAGGCAGCTTAAAGATAAAATTAAACACAAACTCACAAAAATATTAGTTATACAAATATATTCTGTATTGACAAAGACAAATGTACAAATTAATAGTTCATATTTACATATTTTATAATATTTACAAATTTACAAATTTACATAACAATCTTCGCACAGTAAGGCACAGTATAAAATTATTCAAAATCAGATCAATGTTGAATTATGAAAATTATCAAATCAGATCTATGAAAATTATCAAAATTTAATTAACGAGGGCACATGGCATGTCTTCCACCATCTACAGGTAATGTAACTCCCGTTACATGTTTAGCAGCATCGCTAGCTAAATATATTATGGCTTCAGCAACATCGATTGCTTCTCCTGGTTTACCCATTGCATGGGTGTACGACTGTGTTCCAGAAATTTTTGATAAGTTGTTTCATCCATTCCACCAGAACGATGTAAATTAGTAATCTATAGTAGTAAATGATAACTTTGATTTATGATATATGTATAGGATGTTTATATAGGTATTATTTATATCTTACTGTTACTCCTGGGTTTACGGCATTTACTCTAACTCCTTTGGCAGCCAATTCTAAAGCAGCACATCGTGTGAAATGATCTACTGCTGCTTTAGACATGTTATAAGCCAGAACATTGGGAAAGGCTCTTATTCCATTTACACTGGATACATTTACAATATTACCTAAAAGCATTGCGGATAAAGTATTTGTTATTTACAAGTGTGAAAATGGAATTGGTACCTTTCGTTTTAATTAATTCTTGTACTGATAACATTGTTAGATAATATATGGACCGAACATTGGTATTCATGAGCCTATCATATTGTTCTAAGTTTGTAGTTTCAATAGTTCCATTTTCCAAAATCCCCGCATTGTTGATGAGTACATCCAGTTTTCCAAATTTGTTCATAACCTCTGTATAAATTTTCTTGATATCATTTTCAGATGTTAAATTACCAGGTACAGTGAATACATTGGGTGATTTGTTACATTCATTTGCTGTTTTTTGTAAATTTTCAACATTTCGTCCAGTTAAAGCTAAACTTGCTCCTAATTTTGCTAGTTGGACAGCAGTTGCTGCTCCAATTCCGGAACTTGCTCCGGTAACCAGGACTACTTTACCAACAAAGTTCATAATTTTTATTTAATTAAAAGGATAAGTTATGTAATTCTGAAGCTTGGGGGTCTAGTCAATTGTCAATATCAACTACTGATCACAACCAAAGTGACACTTGTAACCTTCAATATTGATAATGATTAACGATGATTAACAAATCAAAGAAAATACAAACATAACTATGAGCCACATATGAGCAAAGTAAATAAAGACTTCCTCCTTTAATATTTTGAGGAGTACTCAAAAATTTGAATGAATAATAATAACTTATCTATTCTATAACAAATATTTAGTTTTATTTTGTATTTTCTTACTTCCATAAATATATTATATTCTAATATTTGTTCAAATAGCAAAATGCAGGTAAATAAAGCAATTAATGTAATAAATCAAAATTGTATCATTGCATTGGAAAATCAAATTTTTCTTTATAAAAGCCTGCGGGTAGCATTTCTATAATCTGTACTTATTATCTATCGTCCTTTTTATTATTACTCTCATTCTTATTATTACTTCTGTTCTATTTATTATTCTTCACTGCTAAATTAATTATTATTTATATTTCTTTTGCTTATTTAAAATTGCCGCCTTTTTAGTTTGCATATCAGTGTCAGTAACCAAAAAGATATTTCTTGGTTAGGAAGAAAGACGGGGAGTTACAGTTGCAATTTTGCATTGTTTTGTATTTTTCTTGTCGTTTTAAATGTTTGACGTGTATTCATCAAGTTAGAGTTTATTTAATAAACGTAAACAAAAAAACATTAGAGGTACGTGCGCATAATTGTGGCATATAACGATAATAAGTGATATACTTTAAAACTGAAAATTTTTTTTCTCTTTAGACATTCTCATTATTTACCAGATATGGCTGAGACACAAACTATGTAAGTGATATTTCATTAAATTTTCTGCTGATCTAATAAAATTTCTGCTTTTAATCAATTTATGATCCATAAAACTATGGAAATATTTTCTAACCTAATTGTTATATAGTGGACTTTACTAATACATTACTACTTTCACAGAAATTTTGATGGAACTGAAGAGAACCACTTCTATGAAATCACATCAGATGATGTAGAAATAATAAGTAGTTCAGGAAAACATGAACTTGGCTGTTCTAAAGTTACTTTGAAAAATACTGTAGACTTTAACTGGGAGCATAAATTGTATTTGGGCCATGTAGTAGCTGTTCATATGCTCGGAAAGCATATTGCTTATGGAATTAAAGGTTTTGTAATAATCACACACATACTTGATGCTTTATGGAAAACTTATTGTATCAATTTCAATCTTTATTACTATACAGCGAAATCTGGTGGAATGGTTCGTGTTATAAGAGATAATTGCCCCATAAGAGGTATAATAAAAGGATATGCAGGGCAACCTCAAGATTTAGCTTTTGCTCACATAGAAGAAGAAATTATTTTAGCTAGTGTTGATGAGGAAGGAAATTTGTTTGTTCATAGTATTGAAACTCCTGATGTTAGGTACATTGTTTCCAGAGTTCAATATTTCAACACTTCAATAATTTTGTTTATTTTTGTCAAATCAAAATACTACTATCATTTTCTTTTACTTCAGTTGTGTGCTTAAGCTGCATATTCCATATAAATCACCTTCGCCTATGACACATAGAGTTATCTGGTGCCCATATATCCCAGAACCTGATTCTGCCGGTGAAGTAGATGAGGATACTGCTAAATTACTTGTAGTAACACATGGATGTGATGGTCTGTAAATTTCATTATTTTGTTTTAATGTATGCAGTCTTTTTTCACTATTGAAACCATTTCAGCTGTTGTGATATCAGTAAATACTGTGATTGAGACTTATGGCCCCGATCCATTAGCAAAGGGCCATGACATTATAGAAGGAATTTTAGAGTTGCTCGATGAGCATACTAAACCAATAACGGATGCAATGTTTGCACCGGATGGAACTCTAATAGCCACAACATCTGGTTCTGGTGAAGTCAAGTTTTTTCAAGTATATATGCATGTGGAAAAAACCACCAATACACGTTGTCTTCACCAGTGGAAACCACATGACGGAAAACCTGTTTCATCCATTTTCTTCTTAGATAATCATCAGAATCATAATCCTACGTAAGCACATTTCATATTCTGCACTTTTAAAGCCAAATTAAAATTACCGTTGATTATTTAAAAGCATCACAATTTTCGATTTTAGATAAAAACCATATATTACTTATATTTCAGAAGTTTTATATTTATTTGACCTTTTTTTAGGGTTGAATATTGGAAGTTTGCTATAACGGGATGCAATAATAACTCAGAATTGAAATTATGGTCATGCCAATCATGGTCTTGCTTGCAAACCATTATAATTAAACCGAATCCTAACATGAAGCACTTGAATGGAAATTTAACATTAAAAGCTTGTCTTGACAAATCTGCACAATACTTGATTTTATCTGATATTTATAACCGTATAATGTACATTATGCAAATAATTAAAACTGAAGATGAATCACAAGCATTTATAAAAAGTGTGTCTGAATTTTTGTTACCGTGTAGTGTTCTTAGCTTCGATGTAGTTGAAACAGGTAAAATATATTTCAATCTATCATACGTTTTTTGGGTCATTTTTAATAAAACTGAAATTTAAATTACAGGGTTGTTAAAGTACAAGTATATGAATAACACTGATGATATGTATGAATTAGATGATGAAGGAATGGATGATGATTTAATCTCTGCATCGCCAGTAAATAATTCCACGTTGGGTCAATTTCAGTCATACAAAGGAGTGTTTGTGAGACTGTATGTCGTACAGCCCAAGAGTTTACAGGAATGCAGAATAATTTATCATCCGCAGATAAATTACAGTACAACTATAAACATGATGAATACAGATAATTATGCATTCACTGATAGTCAGTCATTTAATAATATATCAATATTGTCTGCTTAATTGCAAATTTGCCAATTAATTCTTTTGTACATTTCCAGATCTTGCAGATATATCATCGATTTCTGTAAATAATCATGATGACCAAAATAATAAAACGAATGATGACATCAGTAAGACATTATTGAAAGATTTAGTAAATATTACTAATGATTTTAATGATTTGTCTGTCCAACAATCAACACCTTTGCAAAATGTTCAATCACAAACCGTTCCTTCTCATATAAACTTGATGACTCCTGATGCTTTTAATAATTTAAAAAAAGAAGTACCAGCACAAAATATCAATGTTGATTCTGCAGATGAAAATAAAATCAACAATGAAAATTCATTAAAAGCATTTGATGGGTCTGTTCTGGAAGCGAGAGTTAGTTCCAGTCCAAAAATGAATCAAAAGCTGTTTGATGATCTAATGTACCTTGGTGCAAAGAGGCTTGAAGAAGTTGAAGCACCTTTGGCAACGTCTGAATGTATATATATATTTATATTAATTAATACTTTTCTATGTAATGCAACTATATTAGTTTTATATTTATTTAATTTCTTTTGCAGCTTTTGAAAAAAAAGCTACTAGAGACAATTTAGCCAGTGGTGGATCTAGTCCTAGCCGAGAAGTGCAAGAAATTTTATCCTTGAAAGATTCCAGATCTGATTTATTAGATTTTGATCTGATTGATAATGGAGATATCCAAGAAACTTCTAATGAAGCTATAATACAAACGTTGAAAACTGTAGTTCCAGTTCCTGTGCCAACAAGTAACACAGATATTAGCAAAGAAGGTAATATAATTCAAAAGTAAAAATTTCATTTGCGAAAATATATTACTGAATTTTATTCAGATAAAGGATGGCCGTGTCCACCAGTGGTTGAGCCAATGCAGGTTTCAGAATCTACTTGCAGTGGTGCTAGTAATTCCATCGGCAGTTCAAATGTATTTGCAACATATACAAGTACAAAAAATCAAACATTGGATGATAATCAAAGCATTTCCAGTTCCCTGGACAAAGTATTATGTAAGTTAATGCTGGATTTTTTAATATTATTACATAAGATTAAACATTGATATTTATTCCAGCGATTCTATCACAACAAACAAAACAAATACAAAATTTGCAATTGGAGATACAAAAGATACGAGATAAAGAGTCTGTTTTACATAACACTTGTACAGAGAATAGTAATATTGGTAGAAACATGGAAATTAATTTAGAAAAAGTTGTGGAGCAAGCAATGATGAAAGCCCATATGCAGCAGGCTTCTTCTCTAGATTCTCTGATTACAAAAATGTAAGTTTATTTATCACTTTCACTTGTTACTTTATTTATATGTTATTTCCTTTCTCTTGCAGGACATCATCAATGATTTCAGATCTTCATCGTACAGTCTCTGAAACTCTCATGCAAATTTTGAACCAGCAAATGATAGATAAATTTTCTACAAACTGCACAATAGAAATTCAGCGAAGCGTTGTACCAACTGTTGTTACATCTTTAGATAAATTGAAACAAGCGATGCAGCATGATATGTCTAAGAAACTTACAGCAACTGATCACTTGCTGCATGAGAATATCATGAATTAGTACAAAATAAGGAAACTGTTGAATTGCTCACAAACTCATTACTTATGGCATCGCAAAGCGTTTTAAATAATACGTTGAGAGCTCAAATGGATACATTTCTGATACCATCGTTTGAAAGGGCAACTAATCAAATGTTTAAACAAATACATGAGACATTTTCACAAGGGACAAAAGAATGTAAGTCATTTCACTTTCCAATTTTCTTAAGAATGCTTCTGTAATTCTTTAACTTATGTAGATCTCAATAACTTTGAGCTGGCTTTGGAAAAAAATAGGCGTCAACTGGATAAATCAAAGGATGTCATCTATCGTATGGACCAATTATCAGAAAGCCTTAAAGCCCATGCTGAGACTACAAACACCATAAATAAGTATGTTCATGAATCTGTCTCCAAAACAATGAAGATGTAAGTGTAGAATATGAGAAATTTACAGTTAATGTTTTCAATTTGCTAAACAATTAATTGATGTTTATTACAGCATGCAGGACAATTTAATAAAGAACATAAGTGATCATATAAATATGGCCTTCTCCAAGCAATCTGAGGAACTAGAAAAT